GGGGACATAACTGCGGCATCTTTTGTAAACTACTATAATTGTAAATCTTACCTTGCACCTTGGCTAAAGACTAAGCGGATTTAGTCGCAGTGCAACGTCTGAAGTTGTCGAAGAGTTTTTTCTCGACTCTTGAAAAAGTTGGCCAAAAGTTCGAACACACAACATCAACCACAGAGTATACTAATCATTCAATGCATGCAACTAAACATTGAAGTCATCTTCCAATTTCTGTATTTTCTGGTTTGTCTTCTTTTTCAACTCATCAGAACCGCTTTGATCTCAAACTATTATTAAAGATTTGTTATCATTAACAAATTCGAGAGATTAATGAAATCAGTAATAGCACTGAGAGATTTCACTGAGGTTATATGGATGTTTTATGGTTAAACTGACTGTGTGCACGTGTACGTGTACGTTTGTGTGTTAAAATATGTACACATATACGAACTTATTATAAACTATTATATTTATTTGTACATTTATATGTATATTCTCCCCAGTTAATTCACTTTTGCTACCACACACTGTTATTTAATATTTCACATTGTAATATAAAATTATATAAACTTTTGGCCTACAACAGACACCACCACAATCCTTTAATTTTGAAAACGATACACTTTTTCGAATTCTTGAGACTAATTTTGACAAGAAATTATTTTATGTAGAAAAGAACTGAGATATATTATGCTAATGTTAAAACACAGCTTCCCGTTAGTTAAAGAAAATGTTATTTAAAGCGGGGGGTGGAGGTGGAATCGTCATTTGCGCATGCGCCAGATGGCCATAGCGTGTCGTTGTTTACAAACAAGCGTCCACACACGAGCCTTTGCGTTTTAGCGTGTGTTGTTATCGTCGTTTGGGACTCAATTCCCGCGCGTGCGCAGGTGACGACCCTCCCGCTTTAAATACTTTCTATTTTTCTAGACGTCAGGAATACGAATAAACAATAATTTTTAAATAAAATATGTAGTTGTGTACAATCTGTCAATGTGGAATCCAGTTTTCATGATTATGAACAAAATCGGCTTCTTCCTTGGTGGCGACATTCTTGCAGCTGTAACGAATATATACATACAGCACTATTCAATATGATTGTAACTAACTTACACTAGCATAGTAAAATTTCCACAAAATATTTGACACTGGTTAAATGTTCTGTGAAACTGATAAAATTACGTCAAACAAAAAGAATTCTGAAAAAAATTGAAACAAATATATATGTACTGAAATGATGGAAGCAATTAAATGCAAATGTATTAAAAAGAAAGTAAAAACATAGAAAAAAAGAAATTATCTCAGTATTAATATAGATCAAAAACTAAAAAACGGCAATGAGAATTTCCTGTCAAAACGTATCCATAAAACAGGTCGCTATTGTAATATTTCATGCAACCAGTGAATTTGCAAATTATGTGACGTGAACGAAATTGGTGACGGGAAATATTGTTATGAATTATACTAGAATAAAATTATAAATTATTTATAGTTATGGGTCACCAATTTGATATTCATTTATGCATTTTTAACTTTCGTTTCGTCAATAGACACTAATATCGGAATCGATGAAACGAGTCAACAAATTTAGAGGAATGCAATTGACATCATTCTATATCACTTTTCATTACCCATAAATATTCACATTTTTAATTAGTATACGTTGTCCGCCATTTTGATTTTTCAGCGAGGAATCATGTGTAAAATATGACATCATAATCACTCTTGTAAACAATAAAGAAAATGATTTCAGTCATAACTTAAGCTAACTGATGTGAGATAATATCTGGTGATTGAAAAGTGATATAAAAACAGTAATTTAAATTGCATTATCGTGCAATTGTTGAGCTCTGTTATCTGGAAGCGCATATATATATTTGATATTACTAGTTTGTAAAATCTACCTTCCTGGTATCATCCAGCTGTTTGCAAACTCATTTATATCCTTGGTTATTTTCCATCCACCTCCAGGAATTTCCATGATCAGGTCGTTATACGGATTTCCATCAGCGTTACCAAGCAACCCACAAATATAACCATGCAGGGAATTGTCCGTGCCAGTAACCAAGTTACCATTTCCGTTCCAAACTAGTTTAAATTTGTTAACTAATATCACTTTGACATGCTTATCATCTCTTTTCTTGATGACTATTCGTTCGTCGTCTGACCATGGCAACGATTCAGTTACTCGTTTACCATTCACCTGCAACGACAATTAATGATTTTGTAACAAAGGCTCGGCACAATTCTGGAAATTCTATGGGCTTATTAATACAAATCGAACAAGTTCATTTATTATTGATTAACGTCATTACGTTGCTTATGTTATTATTCAAAGCAATATCAATTGAAGCATTACATATTTTAAATATTCAAAGCAAGAAATAATATTATGTTTGCGTAAATACTCACGTATACTTCCAAATGTAATCCCAGCTGAATTAAATATGGTTTGATTTTAAAAAGAACGTCTGATACTTGTGTGTGGTAAACTCCAGAGTCATCTAAATATCCCATATATCTCACAGCGACCAAAAAAGTTGGATGCTTCACACATTCTTTAAACAGTATGTACGTGCATTCTCCGCCGCCGAATGTATAGTTGAACAGATCGAAAGTGGTGAAGCTTGGTTTTTCCATCGGTTCTGTGTGATTCTAAATTCGAAGAGAAAAAAAAAACATATAATTATGTAACACCAACAATTCACATTAAATCTATTTTTTGCGTCCATGATGTCCATTTGTATGTGACAATATCGATCTTTTATCATACAGAATGTAACAAATGGAATCACTTACCAAACGTAACTCCAAATATTCATAATAAGCATGTAAAATAAGGTAAATATATTACGTACACAGTCATATTAATCTACAAAATTTGATCTTGAAAGTATTGGAACTGATTTGAAATAATGAAAATGAATTTGGAATATAAATATTTATAGTTGGTCTACAATCACAGCTAATTAACATTGATTTTTAAAGGATGTATTTTTTTTTAAAAGTTAGTTGGACAATCTTCACTATAATAATACCAAGATGTCGGAATAACAACTGAACAATGAATAAATGTAAAAAGCTATCTTACGTGCAGCTTCTATTTCTGAAATAGAAAAGAATCATGCGTGATATTAGATACCGTAATCTGTGGTTTAGTAGATAGTAATTTGTTTTAAATTTATTTTTTCGTCTGGCTTTATAATGTGTATTTATTTATTTGATTAAACTTACTCTTTTTACAGCATACACAATTAATTGAACATAAACCGTCTATCGCTATATGTCTTTCTGTATGCTCATCACAAGAGGCTTTACATTCACCGCCATGATGGCAATAACAGTAATCCTTATCTGTGGATTAATAAATACATATTAATTGACATTGCTGAGCAAGCAAAGTGATTATGCTAAAATAAGCCGACAGTGAACTCGAGGGAAAATTTTCAAATTAACTCCAAGCAAGACATTGCTTTGAGTTAGTAATTCAAGACAGTGTTTGTGGGGGCGAACGTGTTTTCTTTATGGGCCATACAATGACATGATGTATTCAATCAATAACAGTATTTACCTTCGTCTGCAATACATGGATAATTTTCTCTCGCGAGTTCTTCTGCATCTATAAAACAGTAATTCATAATTAGTTAATAATGCACACATCACGTATATTAGAACACAATAAAACTTCACATACATGAACCATTTAACATATTGTACATATACATTCACCTGCTTTCTCAATGCAGCATTTAAGTCCACAATTATTTTTCACAACATCACAAGTAAGACTTGGAGACCGTTGATACCTGTAATTCACTTGTAATATGTCTATGCCATCACACTTAGGTAAACACATTCCACTTTTATATGTATCTGAACCACCTATCTTGTCTGATCTGCATGCACCTGTTCAAATGCACAATATGGCGACAAACATTATGGTGTGATCGATTGAAATAATAAATTCGCTAGTAAATATTTAGAAATTCATTACAATACCTCTACATAAACACATTATATGTAAGTATATATACTTAGTGTTTTATAATTAGATTTACCCAATGTGTAGCCCCTTTCGTGCCTTGCATAATGATGCTCGTCTTCTATATGTGAATAAAAATAATATATATGTAGTAAGACATACTATGTACAGCTCATGAAAACAACATTTGGGAAACAGCTTTTACAGATTAACATTCTGCCGTTGCCGAGTAATACAATGACAATTAAACATGTTAGTATTTTCACAATTTACCAGTTTTGAAAACGAGACGGCTGGTGATATCGACAGTAATTACAATTTATATCTTTGAAGCACGTGTCAATATTAAATATACTGACTCAGATTAACCACAGCCATTATTTGCACGTATGGTGTGTGTATTCACTTCTTTAGTTCGAATAATCATCAGCACAAATATAATCGTATACATTTTTCTCCACTCTCACTGAAACTGACAAGTAACATATGAATCGTCTTACTTTGATAGTGACCTTTATAAAAATCATCTAATCTGCTCTGAAATTAACAAATACAGTTATAATAATGAATATAATTGTATATTTTCATCTAGCCACAGAACAAGAATGTTGCGTAATATGCATTGTGATAAATAACTATACATCTATACTTTCACCTCAGAAATAATAATGGAGTCACATCCCGTAAATAAACGATACCACATTTTGGCCATATCGTACGATAGTAATTTCAGTGCCACTTTGCGGTATGGTGGCGTACTATATTATATGAATAAAACAATACACATAATCAAATATTTTGTCGTGCTGTAATCTTCTATCTATATTTGATTCATCTCTCTCGCGTATTCGGTGTCATTTTTTTGTTTTTACAGTGAACGCTAACATACAGTAAGTATTGGGGTAAGTGAACTAGTTCTTTAATCATAAACCTCAGTTGATTAATTTGCAATTAAAATTGGTTACTAAAGTAATGTTTAGCTTTATAGCGAAAACACCAAGTCATTGTTTCCAAGGAAACACGTTACGGTGAATATTCTAATTATGTGTATTTATTTATTCATTTCAGGAATTTGTAGTTTTAATTTGTTTACTAATTAACCACATTATTTTGATTAGTTTTATGTTTATTTTTCATAGAGCTACAGAATGAAACCATGAAAAACAAAATACAAAATACCGAAGAATGAAAGTTTATTATCTTAATTTGATATTTGTGTTTGAACGCAAAACATCTCAAACATCTCATCGTGAATCACAAACACATATGTTTGTAAACCCAGTTTTTGGTTCAACGGCGTAAATCACACAATATTAATGATATGGCACGTACACGTGTGTACTGCTATGCACAGCGTGTATGGCTCAAATGACGTGTAACTCAATCATATTATGGATTGTTAGTTTAATAATTTCTAGTTTTATATAAAGGTATTGTCTTTTAATTTTAACTTACCGGTGGGTCTGTGCCAACATTGTACACCAATAAAGCCATGACAAATATCACAAGATACATCTTGCTTTTTTACGGCACACCTGCAGTTAGTTAACTATGTGAAACAAAAACACAAGAATCAGTGGCGGCGGCACAGGGGAGGGGGAAGAGATAGACGGTCGCCCCTAGAATAACATGTTGAGGGGCGACCGCCCCTCTAAAAAATCAAGCTGAAACCCTTTTTGTCAGCAAAATGTGTCCCGTAAAATACAGGAAATAGCGTTTTAAAGGGTTTAGATTTCAAACTTGTTAAGAGGGAGCATACCCCCGGACCTAGAAGGTGTCGATTTCGGCGCGAGGTTGGTGAGCAGATCTCGCCCCTCCTGCAAAATTTCGTGCCGCCGCCTCTGAGAATGTAACGAAGGAATTTTTAGTTTCATCGATACTCACTTACTTTGACCTCAAAATTACGTTGCCATAGGTCATAAATATTTAACGTAATATAAATAATACTAGAACCAACCTTATACACCAGTCATAAACATCAAATACAACTGTTAACTTGCATGTAACTACGGTAGTTGTTGTTTTTAGTAAGCTAACGCTTCAGCAAACCTTCATCTCAGTTTAGACATATTATTCCGTGATATACCAGCGAGATATTACAATATCTACGGTTTGGAAATGATAGGATATAAGGATCGTGCTGTTACATACGCAGCTGTTCACCATTCAAAATTAATTATTGTGAGATCTGCAACCTGTCATGCATACTGTTTGTCGAGGCTTAATGCCAGACAACTAGCTGCGTATGTTTGTTCCACTCAACCAAACACACACATGGACCATATCGGAGGAATGTAGGCTGCATCTCGTGGACTACATCGGAGAAATGTAGGCTGCATCTCCTGGACCACATCGGGGGAATGTAGGCTGCATCTCCTGGACCACATCGGGGAAGTGTAGGCTGCATCTCTTGGACCACATCGGGGGAGTGTAGGCTGCATCTTGTGGAATACATCAGAGGAATGTAGGCTGCATCTCGTGGACCACATCGGAGGAATGTAGGCTGCATCTTGTGGACTACATCGGAGGAATGTAGGCTGCATCTCTTGGACTACATCGAAGGAATGTAGGCTGCATCTTATGGACTACATCGGAGGAGTGTAGGCTGCATCTTCTGGACTACATTGGAGGAATGTAAGCTGCATGTCTTAAACTGCATTAGAGGAGTGTAGGCTGCATCTCATTGACCACATGGGGGAGTGTAGGCTGCATCTCGTGGACTACATCAGGGGAGTGTAGGCTGCATCTCCTTGACTACATCGGGGAGTGTAGGCTGCATCTCGTGGACCACATAGAAGGAGTGTAGGCTGTAACTCTTGGACTACATCGGGGCAGTATAGGCTGCGTTTTGTGGACCACATAGGAGGAGTGTAGGCTGCATCTCGTGGACCACAAAGCGGAATGTAGGCTGCATCTCCTGGACCACATCGGGGGAGTGTAGGCTGCATATCATGGACCATATAGGAGGAGTGTAGGCTGAATCTCTTGGACTACTTAGGAGGAGTGTAGGCTGCATCTCTTGAACCACATTAGAGGAGTGTAGGCTGCATCTCGTGGACTACATCGGAGGAATGTAGGCTGCGTCTCGTGGACCACATGGGGGAGTGTAGGCTGCATCTCGTGGACTACATCGGGGGAGTGTAGGCTGCATCTCTTGGACTACATCGGGAGTGTAGGCTGCATCTCGTGGACCACATCAGGGGAATGTAGGCTGCATCTCGTGGACTACATCGAAGGAATGTAGGCTGCGTCTCGTGGACCACATCAGGGGAGTGTAGGCTGCATCTCGTGTACTACGTCGGGGAAGTGTAGGCTGCATCTCGTGGACTACATCGGGAGAGTGTAGGCTGCATCTTGTGGACTACATCGGGGGAGTGTAGGCTGCATCTCGTGGACCACATCAGTGGAGTGTAGGCTGCATCTCGTTGACCACATGGGGGAGTGTAGGCTGCATCTCGTGGACTACATCGGGGAGTGTAGGCTGCATCTCTTGGACTACATCAGGAGTGTAGGCTGCATCTCTTGGACCACATCGGGGGAGTGTAGGCTGCATCTCGTGGACCACATCAGTGGAGTGTAGGCTGAATCTCGTTGACCACATGGGGGAGTGTAGGCTGCATCACGTGGACTACATCGGGGGAGTGTAGGCTGCATCTCTTGGACTACATCGGGAGTGTAGGCTGCATCTCGTGGACCACATAGAAGGAGTGTAGGCTGTAACTCTTGGACTACATCGGGGCAGTATAGGCTGAATTTTGTGGACCACATAGGAGGAGTGTAGGCTGCATCTCGTGGACCACAAAGAGGAATGTAGGCTGCATCTCCTGGACCACATCGGGGGAGTGTAGGCTGCATCTCTTGGACTACTTAGGAGGAGTGTAGGCTGCATCTCTTAGACTGCATTGGAGGAATGTAGGCTGCATCTCGTGGACCACATCAGAGGAGTGTAAGCTGCATCTCGTGAACTACATCGGAGGAATGTAGGCTGCATCTCGTGGACTACATCGGGAGAATGTAGGCTGCATCTCCTGGACCACATCGGGGAGTGTAGGCTGCATCTCATGGACCACATAGGAGGAGTGTAGGCTGCATCTCTTGAACTACTTAGGAGGAGTGTAGGCTGCATCTCTTAGACTGCATTGGAGGAATGTAGGCTGCATCTCGTGGACCACATCAGAGGAATGTAGGCTGCATCTCATGGACTACATCGGAGAAATGTAGGCTGCATCTCCTGGACCACATCGGGGGAATGTAGGCTGCATCTCCTGGACCACATCAGGGAAGTGTAGGCTGCATCTCTTGGACCACATCGGGGGAGTGTAGGCTGCATCTTGTGGAATACATCAGAGGAATGTAGGCTGCATCTCGTGGACCACATCGGAGGAATGTAGGCTGCATCTTGTGGACTACATCGGAGGAATGTAGGCTGCATCTTGTGGACTACATCAAAGGAATGTAGGCTGCATCTTATGGACTACATCGGAGGAGTGTAGGCTGCATCTTGTGGACTACATCGGAGGAATGTAGGCTGCATCTCATGGAGTGTAGGCTGCATGTCTTAAACTGCATTAGAGGAGTGTAGGCTGCATCTCGTTGACCACATGGGGAGTGTAGGCTGCATCTCGTGGACTACATCGGGGGAGTGTAGGCTGCATCTCTTGGACTACATCGGGGAGTGTAGGCTGCATCTCTTGGACCACATGTACTCAAAAAGAGGCTACCAGATACGAAAGAGATGGTATACCAGCAAAGGCAAGGCAGTCAAACACGATATAAACTAAATTATAATATGACCAGTGTGAATCTAGCCATCTGATTGGTTGAAGCCAGGGTGTATACATCTGGCAATATATGACTCGGGCCCTGTTTGATGAATAATTAATAAAACAAAAACTGGAATAAACTGGATTGAAATATAATAAATATTGTCGTCTGCAAGCCACAAGCGGCATTTTCAGAGCATGGTAATTATGTCAGACAACGAGCCTCAGATCAATTGTGATCTCAATTTCAAATGGTACTAGCTGGATGAAATTGACGCTACTGATGAAAAACTTCTTCAAGCTACAATTAAATGAGAGCAACAAAGCGCCGGCGGTAATAACGAGTCAGATCAACACATGCCGGTGTCTGCCGAAAGGCAAAGATTCCCAGAATTTTCTGAAGAAATGGTCGACAACTTGGCAGCAAAGAAAATGAAGTGAATACTCACGCCTCCAGAAAATGGGGTGTGAAATTACCCAAATGTAAGCGTGATAAAAGTCAAAATTAAAAAAAAATGACATAACTATAGTTTGTACCGCCGAACACCGCCATTTTCATTGTTTGTAAACAATGCGTTGAAAGTTTGACCCAATGATGACCCAATTTCCATACTAAAATTATGTTTGTTTTTTTTGTACAGTGTGGTGTTCTGAATGGAAAATCGACCCAGCCTTTGAAATGGTAGAAGTGCAAGAGCTGGCAAACATATTGAAGCATTTTTATGCCGAGGTCAGGGCTAGAGACGGGAAAGTATACAGCATAAGAAGCTATGCTGGAATTCGAGCAGCAATCCATCGCCACATAACCAATGTTCCATTCAATCGCCCCATTAACATTATCAAAGATCGGGAATTTCAAACTGCCAATAATGTATTTACAGGGAAAGTAAAAAGTTTGAAGCGGGAGGGGAAAGATAAAATCCAACACAAAAGTTATCAGTGCGAGAGACATGAGTATTAAAGATGTCGTTTTACGTTTTGTGTGGCTTTATGTAGAGTTTTTCTTTTGCCGAAGGGGACGGAAGGGTCCTCGGAATCACTTTGGCCTATTTGGAAGCAACCAAAAACCACCCCAGGGATTTGAAGGATGACTTTGAATCAGAGAAACGGATGTACAAAACAGACTTCTAAATTTTACAAGTAAGCTTCACCCAAGCACTAATGCTTTTCTTCAGCGGCCAGTTGAGCATGCTGTACACTAACCACTGTGTGAGAGCAACCACTATGAAATCATTGAACGACGCTGAAATACCAACACGGATAATCATGAATTTAAGTTGCCATCAGAATGAAGGGAGTGTCAGGAGTTACTGTCGCAACAGTTATAGTGAACAAAAATTTCAGTGTAGTGACATTTTAATGTCAAAAGTCGGTGTTCCTACCGTCGATGAGCATGGTAACAATTACCTTCAGATGGCCCTCAGTTCCAGCGTTGTTCGGCCGTCAACATCGGGCATGGCTCAAGTAAAGTGTCAGAGAAATATCTCCACAAGTGAAACGGTATGCTCAAGCTCAGTCGCAACAGAAAACCTGTTCAAAAACTGCAATTTCGGAGGCTCTGTATATGTGTATACTAACAATTATATTTCTCCAAAACCAAACTAAAATCCTTGAAAATGACAACTTGAAAAATTTCAAACTGCCATGTTCAAATTTACCACTCTTAACAAATGTAAATTTCATAATGTCGATTCATGTGTATATTTTTCCTGTTCTATATTTGTATATTCTATATATTTATATATTCTGTTCTATATTTGTATATTTTTCTATTTATTGACGATGTATTTTAAGTAATAAACTTGAACATTTGCAATTTTATAATAACCTGTTTTATCGTTTTCGCTTGGAATTACATGCCTGTGCAAACGTGTCTCGGAGTGATTTCTATTGAAAGAGTGTATGATGAGGCTCCAGAATGTGGTTATTCATCCCTCCCCACACTTCGTTTCAGAAAGATGCCGTATTCCCATTAAATATTCAACATTGTTGTAAACGGTAGCGGATATAAGACCTCTCTAGAGAAAATTAGCATATTTGGGTTAAATAATCACCTCTCTGCGCTCGGTGATTATTTCCCGCCAAATATGCTAAATTCACTACGTTCAATTACCCACCATAGACTCCGGTCAGTCAAAATGGCTATTCTGAACTGTAGGCATTAATCAGCGATTCTCCCGGTGACCTTTTACTACTGTAATTCGCTTCCCTCATGCATGTCGTCTTCATGCTTGATCTACGTATATAGAAATGAATAGATGTAATGACAGCTCCATGACTCGCTGCAGTTTTTTGGTCTCCTCGTTTTTGAGTTGACTGTGTAGTGGTTATATTCAGAATTTACCAGCATAGAACCTGCATCTGATATGCTTTTTCGCCGTGGCTGCGTGCGAGGTTCA